GTACAGGCGCGACACTGAGGGTTGCGATCTGTTGCCGGTCACGAAAAAAGACAAAAAAAAAAAAAAGAAAAGAAAAGGAATTAACATTTATCGAGCATTTACATTCCAGGAACTGTGTTAAACCCTTAATAATCATCACAAAAACCCTCCACAGATGAGGAAAAAGTGTAAAAAGCCCATGCAACTTACCCAAAGTCACACAGTGGGGCCAGGATGCAGACTGCATCTGCCTAACTCCAAGTTCCGTGCTCTTACTCCATATCACACTACTTCCTGCTACAAGAATGTACATGCTAACCTACAGTATTTTCAAATGCTGGATGTAACCTATTAGAGAGCTGCAAAATCAATTTAATCAATTGAAAAATCCCTTCAATGAGTTATGACCAGCATTCTTCTTTTTAAATAAAAGAGAGTAGAAAGCGGAATAGATCACACGCAGAAAGTATATACACTTTTCATGAAACAGTATATACATGTGTATGTATACTGGATGGCAAAATGCATTTTTCACTAGTAATACCAGTCAAAAATTTGATAGCCTAAAATTGTACTTTGAATATACTAGGTACCTTGAACATAGTGTGTTAAGTTGAACTTGCTAATGATCAAGAGGCAAAAGATGTATCTTAGTGCCTTACAAATTATCGGAGAAAGATGCTCTATAACTATGATAGCTAACATTCATTGAAACTTACTGTGTAATAGAAATTAAGCTAAACACTTCACATAAAATTTCATTGAATCCTTACAACAACCTATTTTACAGAAGAATATGATGTTCAGAAAAGTACCTTGTTTGAGAAGGTTATTGATATAGTTTTAAAGTAGCTTCTTCCCCCAGATATTTATCAATTACAGAGTACAAATAATAGTAATTTTACAGTGGAGAAGCCGGCAGATACCTCCTTAACCAGGTGATCTAAGTTAATACCGTCAGGAATATGGCATAGCAATATCACGAACTCTCTGATATAATGCACTGAGGACACATCATCGTTTTTGTGTTATTCCTGTCAAAAATTCATAACCTCAATCTAATTATTGAAAATGCCAAATCTAAATTGAGAGACCATCAACAAAATCTCTAAAAGTGCCAAGGTCATGAAAGACTGAAAAAAAAAAAAAAAACCACTAAGGAACTGTTATAAGCTGAAGGAGACATATTAAAACAAACTAAGAACTATATATTTTACTTCCTCTCTGCTGTACCGTACATCCGAAAAAAAAAAAAAAACCACTAAGGAACTGTTATAAGCTGAAGGAGACATGACAACTAAATACAATAGGGGATCCTGGAAAAAGGACACTGGTGGAAAAATTGTAAAATTTGAGCTATAGTTTAATTAACAGTATTGTACATTGTTAGTTATATAACTGGACAATGGTTATAAAGATGTTATCATTAGGGGAAGCTGGGTGAAGCATACACGGGAACTCTTGGTACTGTTTTTGCAACTTTTCTGTAATTCTAGATTTTTTTCAAAATGAAGTTTTAAAAAAAAATCATAATTATTGCACAAAGGGAGGGAAGGGGAGAAGAGAGGAAGAAGAAAGAAAAGTTAGATAACTTGAGCAAGATCACCCAGCCACTTAGGAGAGGCATTTTGGCCTCAGGCAGTCTGACTACACACCTCCACTGCCTGAAGGACAGAAGAGGTGAGAGAAAACTCTTATTCAACTGAAGTAGAGAGATGTTTTGACATCCCAATTTAATTTTTCCATAAAAAACTTTGCTACATATGGTTTAATCTATAGAGCCCTTTCAGTGAATAAAACGTGCTGATTTCTTTAGAAAATAATAAAATATGAAGCTAAAGAAAGTTTAGAGTTCATGCTATTGTGGTCTATTTTGTTTTTAAATCAGTAATTCATATAATATAAATAATAAACCATATGATCAGACTACCTCATTAATCAAATCATTGCATTTTCTCAAAATTTTGTATTGCCAATGAACTGAACAAGCTACGTTGGTGTTAATAAGCATAAATATTATTTTCAAACAATGAAGTAAATTCTGTGTAAGACAAAAACAAAACTACAATAATATAAACACACAAAATAATACAAGATAAAACAAGTAAAAGACACCAAGATAAAATATTCCTTATTTCCCTGAAGTGAAAGTTATGGTACTCATTACCTATACCCTTATGCTAAAATGCATAATTTTTAATTTTCTCAAGAACATCTAGATACCTTACTGAGGACTCTTCCTCATCACATTAATTTTCAGGGGAAATCATTAAATATTAAGAGTCCAGCTTCTAAAAATGTCATTCACATTTCCTAGGAATTTTTTTTGAAAAATGAATCAAAATTTTCATAGTTTAAAGTCTATAAGCAAACTGAATGTAGAGACTTCATTGATCCATCACTGGGCAAACTACCTAGAAATGTAAGTATTTAAGAAACATCAAACTAATGTTTCTCAGTGTCATACAGGCAATATGTTACACAGCACATAAGAAATCAAAGAATTTTTTGAAAAATCACAGAACATTTGCATTATACACAGTATGAAGGTAAAACAATTTCAAAATAGAAAACACTGGACAGATTCTTATACAGAGATACTTATTGAAAATAGTAAACAAATTATAAACAAATCCCTGTTCAATAACAGGTAACTAATTAAATTACTTTTGGATTTACAGAATTACAAGTAGTCATTAAAAGTCATATTTACGAAGGCAGCTTAGTGACATGAAAAACAGCAGTGTGCCACACATATAAAAAATGACAAAAACACTAAAACTTTTAACAGAACTCATTTGCATAGTAAATTTTAGGTGACTATTATTTTCTTCTTTATATTTTTCTGTATTTGCTACATTTTTTACAATGAACATTTTTATTATTAAAAAAATTCCTCTGAAGATTCTTCAAAAAGCATACATTAAAACTGATTTGAAACCAATACAAAATTTAAATATGTACAAATTTCTTTTATTTATGCCACTAAAGAATAAAAAAATTATTTGTAAAAAAAAATCACTTATCCTAATAAAATATATTAAATTATATAACAGAACATTAAAACAAACTAAGAACTATATATTTTACTTCCTCTGAGCCAAAAGGGTGTATTTAAAAATACATCAAAATTATATATTCTGCTATAAGTTTAGCACTCAAATTTATCTAAGTTAAATCATGTCTCCTGAAATATAAATAAATTCAAATTCCTTACAATATATATTATCTTGAAATATAGAGAGTTTAAATATGGGAGGGGTATATACAAGGATACTTCAAAAAGTTCATAATGAAAAGATTCATATTCTCTTTCAATTCTATTTTTTCATGAACTGTGAGAAGTACCCTCATATATTCCCAATGAGTATTGTAAATGACACCACTAAATTTTTGTATCACTGTTTTAAAGACAATAAACAACAGCCTACAAGATGTAGCCTCTGCAGATGTGCACATGTGGAATCCTGAAATATCATCTTGCCTCATATAAAACAATAAGCGGGTGTGAGAGTTGTACTGACTGGCAGGAATAGTGATGAGTAAACATTAAGAATTTAACACATCATAGGCATATAGTTCCTGTTTGCAAGTTTGCTGAATACTACTTTTGGCCCCAAATCCCCCCAACCTGGGACAGACTTACTGCACAGCACAGAGCACAGGCTTTAGAGCCAGATGTCTGAGGTTGTATACTGGCTCTGCTTCCTACTGTGCCTTGGGCAAATAACAACTTCTCTGTGCCTCAGTTTCCTCATGGGTAAAATGGGGATAATACTCAGAATCTATATATTATGTTACAAGGTTTAAAGGTGTTAATGTATGTTAAGCATTTGACAGTGTCTAACACAGTAAGAACTCAAAAAATATTTGTAGGTATTGGGCCGGCCCGGTGGCGCACTCGTAGAGTGCAGCGCTTGGGAGCGCAGCGGCGCTCCTGCCGAGGGTTCGGATCCCATATAGAGACCAGTCCACTGGTTGAGCGCAGTGCGGGCGCGACACTGAGGGTTGCGATCCCGTTACCGGTCACGAAAAAAGACAAAAAGGAAAAAAAAAAAATATTTGTAGGTATGTAAGTATGTATGCAGCATTAAAATGACAATACATTAGCCTAATAAGCATGTCACTGGTGTTCTCTGCTAACAGCCTTATAATTTCAGTAATGTATATTTCAAAGTCTGTGCTTTCTTCCATGCCCTTCTGTGAAACCACTTTGATGTTCAACAGCATGATACACAAAGCTACATCTTTGTCACATGCCTACTGAATCCTCAGTATTTATATACACCAAAAACAAGAGAGACCAACAAATAAGGTATTGGTGGAATAATGTGGCAAAAATTGGTAGAGAAAAACACCAAATCCTTGAAAATAGGTACACCAAATCCTTGAAAATAGGTTACTAGAAGGCAATTATTGTGCTGGCCAAAGGAAGAACCACCAATCATTAACAACATCACAATCTCTAAAATAATAAAGAAATAAATGAATATCCTGGAGAGAAATTTATTGCATCTCATTTATTCAGAAAGACACACTGACCTCTAAGATGAATCAAAAAGAAATGGGTAAATTGTGGGATACAGATTATAATTACTGTAATATTATTTTTAATAGTTCATTAAAAAAATCTCTACACTGGTAAAGTCAAACTTATTTTGAACAGAATGGAAGTAAATGCTAAATAATTCAAGCATTTTTAAAACACTTTCTATACAGTTTTAATTAATTAGTCTCTCATTCTATTAGATGTTTTAAATATAAATTTTCATATTTTAGCTTATAGTAATAGTCTATAGTGTTGTTTGGTTCTTTAATAGAAAGTAACATGTTTGGGAAAAAACACCTTAAGAAAGACACATACATATGAATGACACGTGCAAACAGATAATAACAGGGAACAGCAAACATCACTTCCATTATATTTTCAGAATCTTCTCAATAAATAATATAGAATGACTTTAGTTTCAGTGCCACACACGTGGACAGCCACACACAGAGAATAAAGTATTCTTGCTTACCGTGCCATACCGCTGCATGTCCATCCCACAGAGTTGCCACCGTTTTCCTTGCACCATCCCATAAATTATGAGAGTAGGCTTCTTTTAATACATTCTTCCTCTTATAAATGTGTAAGAAAATAATAGTAAGGTAGAGAAGAAAGATAGTAAAGTAAGGAAGTATTAAAAGTATTAGTGGCGTAAAAACCCACAAAAGATAGTTTGCAAAATTCAGATAGTCCTCCAGTTGCTCCACACCAAACCATTCTTCAAGTATGTGAACCAGACAAGTCATATAGGGCATAGAATCCTGTCCTGCACCACAGGTTTGATTTTTGTCTATCATTTTTCCTTAGGAGAAAATGATAAATTCAGTTTCTTTCTTCATTGTCACCTGCTTCCTAGCAGGTCTTTAATTTTGCCACTAGAAGGGAAAAATAACCCAGTGTTATTCTCTTTACAGCTATAAAGTTAAATGTTTTAGTCTACATAACTACTATATAGAGTCATTTAATACCAAAATTGAGTAGATTGTTAATGATTAACTTGGTTGCGATTTAAATGTGAAAATTATAAGGTTTCATCTATTTGCTCATGAAGCGTATTGGGTTTAGCTTTTGAAATAAATCACAGGCTATAAATGACAGAGGAAAATAAAGCAGATGAGGAATGAATTTTGTCTTATGTAGATCATGTTGAACATTTGGATCTTAAACTAGGTCATATTGAGATAACTCTGTTCTTTGCAAAAGAAAACAATATCTTACTCAATAAAAGTAACCCAATTCTTCAGGATGACATATATTTTTAGATATTATCTTTCATAGAGAAATAGACTAATAGAAAAGCTGACCTTTTGACATTATGTAAATGTAAAAATTTATCAGTACTGTTTCTATGTTACAGTCACTAAAATTTCTCTCAAATCTTAAATGACTAAAAGTATAACTATACAATTATTTTATAAACTCTCTCTAAAACAGTCACTTTACTTACCAGAAATTAGATAAATATCTTGTCCCAAGCTTCGATGTATGTATTCTGGAAAACACAGTAAAAAAATGGAAAAAATATATGATTAAAGAAAAAATATAATCATTAACACCCAGAGTCAAAATTTCCATAAAATAAACAGTAAGAGACATTCACAAATGTTTGACAAATGTGATTACAGCCCACATTAGTGCATTACAATTAAAAATTATACTCATGCTGCCACTGCTTTAGTGAGGACAACTGTATACACACTGTTTAGTGCCATTATATAAAACCCCACCCAAGAACGTTTTTTCAACAGAGGCATGAAAAGCTTTGCTTCTTTGGAGGAAAAAGTATGATGTTATTAAGCTGTGTAACTGACTATGTCTCTCTGCCACATTAGCTGATAGTCAAACACAATATTCCATGACTTGATTATATTAGCCCTATGATCATATTTTCCTACATAAGATTTCCTTGGTTTCCTTCTTCTATTCATATTTCCTCTGGTTCTGATTCTATTCTTAGAGACATCTTATCATTATTCCATAATATACAATCTTAGTGAAAATCATCTCAATTCCTTTGGAGCTGAGGTAGGGAATTGAGGAAATGAGAGAAAGAAATGGTGGGAGAGGCAGAGACACACAGGCAAGAGCAATTACATGCTGCTTTTACATCAAGACTATCCTGGTAACTGGCTTACTAGCAGGGCGTGCCCTCTGACTTGTTCTTCAAGGAATGGAGGATTTAGCCTAATTCCTTGTAACCATTAGCATTTACTTGTGAGAAACCTGGGCCTGTTATGGTAACAGAAGGCAAGCACAGCACACAACGAGCCCTCAACTTGGGCTTTATTTATATGATATTCTAATCAATCCATCTAAACAGATGAATCACTATAATTATAATTTATCAGTGTTTGATCATTTAGAGTGCAACATAGCAAAATTTAATACCTTTAAAGATGACAGCTTTTCCCACTAGGATGATTATAATCCAAAAAAATGAAAAATAACAAGGGCCGATGATGTGGAGAGATTAGAATCTTCAGATATTGCTGGTTGGAATGTAAAATGGTATGGCTGCTGTGGAAATCAGTTTAGTGGTTCCTCAAAAAGCTAAACATAGAGTTACCATATGATCCGGCAATTCTACTCCTAGGTATATACCAATAAGGACTGAAAACACACATTCGCACAAAAATTTGTACACAAATGTTCACAGATGCATTATTCATAATAATCAAAAAGTAAAAACAATGCAAATGTCCATCAACTGATTAACAGATAAACAAAATGTGGTACAGTTGGTCCTCACTATCTGCAGGTTCTGCACCCACGGGTTCATGCCCCATGGATTCATCCAGCCACAGATAAAAAATATTCAAAAAAAAACAAAAATAAAAATAACAATACAACGATAAAAAATAATACAAATTTTAAAATACAGTATAACAATCATTTATATTGTACCAAGTATTATAGGTAATGTAGAGATGATTTAAAGTGTACAGGAGGATATTCATAAGTTATACTATGCCATGTTACATAAGGGACTTGAGCATCTGAGTATTCAGGTATGGGTGGGGAGGAGGATAGTCCTCGAACCAACTGCCTGCAGATACCTAGGGATGACTGTATATCCATATAATCTGTATCTGTATATGCCATAAAAAGGAATGAAGTACTGGTTCATGCTATAATATGGATGAACTTTGAAAACATGCTAAGTGAAAAAAGCCAGACACAAAAGATCACATATTGTATGATTCCATTAATATGAAATACCCAAAACAGGCTAATCCACAGAGTCAGAAAGATTAGTGTTTGCCAGAGGTTAGAGGAGAATGAGGAGTGGCTGCTAATGGAAACAGAGTTGTCTCTGAGATAATGAAAATGTTCTGGAATTAGATAGTAGTGATAGTTGTACAACCTTGTAAATATACTAAAAACCACTGAGCTATACATTTCAAAATGGTGAATGTCATGATAAATTATATCTCAATTAAAAAAAAAGCTTTTAAACATTGTTAATTAACAAAATTTATTATAACCTCTCATATAGGTTAAAAGTAGCTTTTCAGAGGCCCAATCAACATTTTGGTGATCTGATCCTTACTGCTTAATACAATTGCCCACAATAATCTACTCTCATTTTCAATTTTTAATAGAATTATAAAATCTTGTAATTTTAAAACTTTCTTTAGTACCTCCCCAAACTGGAAATAGAATTACACATCTTATCCTCTTAATCACATTCTGATTTATTATATATACTTAATAAACACAGTAAAGGGAAGGGGACTAATATAGTTTGGATATGTCTGTCCCCCCAAAGCTCATGTTGAAACCTGATCCCCAATGTTGGGAGGTGTTTGGGTCATGGGGGCAGATCCCTCATGAATAGATTAGTGTCCTCCCTTGGGGGTGGAGGAGCAGCAGGAGTCTCCGTCTCTCCCTCTCTCTCTCTCTCTCTCTTCCTCTCCTTACACTCTCCAGTTGCCTGCCAGTTATTAGGAGAAGCAGCATTAGGCTCACAACAGATGTAGCTGTCCCAGAATCAGGAGCCAAATAAACCTCTTTTCTTATTAATTACCCAGTCTCAGGAATCCTGTTATTGCAACACAAAAACAGACTAATATAGGGAGAGAGCACAGGCAGAGTTCCAGTGAGAAAGGTTACACGAACAACTTCATGAGATCTAGTAGCCTCTTAACAGTGCTGTGTGCAATGACTCCCTCCATAAATGGTCATTCAGCCCTGATTTTGATTTAAACCTTTCCAGAACACTCAAAAGCTTCCCATTCCATCTTCAAAACCATCCATCGAACTACTAAAAAGGTCTTCCTATATTCACTAACTTCTACTTACTGAACCTAGTTCTATACCACAGAACCTCTCTCATTGGACAACTTCTTAAGTTTCAGAACAGCTATCATGAGCTGAAAAATCCCCTTTTCTAATAAGAGTCCTTAATTCTTTCAACCACTCCTCAGAATTTGGTTTCTCAACCTTTCACCACTCTGGTCACTCCCTGTGACTGACTCCAGTTATTTGGTATTGAGAGGACCATGTCAGCACCCTCTGGGCCTCAGTTCACTAAAATCTGCAAAAATAGAATAATAATAATATCTACCCCATAGGATTACTCTGATTAAATGGGCTAATCTGTGTAAAGAGCCTAGAACAATGCCTGACACGTTTGCTATCACTATCATTACTGGAATCAAAGATGACAATAACTTTTTAAGTAGCTTTATCATTCCGCTAACTCATATTCAGCTAAAAAACGTGGTACTACTTTCCACATCTCTGCAAACTGTACTTGAAAAAAAACATTTTGTAGCCAGCAAAGATTATACATCCTATTAACTTTCATATCCTAAGACACAGCCCATCCTTTCAGCCTGTTCCAGGAGCACAGTGTCTCAGTTTTGTCTTCTGAAAACAGAGAGGAAAAACTCATTCAATAAAGACCTATTTAACCCTTATGTACCTAGCAGTTTCACAGCAGTAAATAAACCAAAGACCACAATCTCAAGTGACTTACAGTCTAGAGAAGATAGGGAAGATAGACAATAAATAACTAGTAAGATGCTGGTTCTTTACACTAGGTCACATGACAATAGGTGCTATGGAGAAATATTAAAAAATAAAAGATAAACATAGATATGGAATTCTATGACAGACAAGGGCACAGGTGAGGGGAGGGGACTGTTATGCTATCTATGGTGGTCTGGGAAGGCCTCTCTAAAAGGCATATTTGAGCAGAGACCTGAGGAAATAAAGAAGCAAACTGTGTGGATATTTGATGGAAGAGACTGGCTGGGAAGTGAACAGCAATGCAAAAGACAGGCACTTGGTGTGGTCTGAAGAACAGCAAGGAAGCCAGGCTGAGGAATAGTGAGTGATAGGGAGGGCTGTTGGAAAAGGGCACAGAGAGGCAGCACTGTAGAGCTTTGTAGGCCAGCTTTTATCTGAGACGAAGAGGGCATCCGAGGACTTCAAACAGAATGGTAAGACTGCATGATTTTGGTTTTAAATGACTGCTGTGTTGAGAATATATTGTCCAGGGAGCAAATAGGAAGTTAGTGCAAGAATTACAATGAGTGATGAAAGTGGCTTAGACAAGTGTGGTAGAGTGAAGGGGATAGAAGATGGTCAGTTTCTGGATACATTACAAAGATAAAGCCAACAGTATTTGCTGATGAATCGGTGTAAAACGTGAGTGAGACAGAGAAAAGTGTGAAATGACTACATAGTTTTTTGGCAACCTGGGTTTGTATCCTAGGAGGTTCTGCCACTATTGTGTGAACTAAACAAGTTACTCAGTATTTCTCTGCCTCATTTTCTCCCTCTGTAAAATGGGGATAATGATAGCGTCTATCTAATAAGACTGTTGTAAAGATTGTATATTTTTTTTAAAAATCTTGGAAAAGTGCCTTCCACTATGTAAGCACTGACCAAGTACTGCTATCACCACCACCATCGTTAGCCTGCTTGTGAAAAGAATGGAGCTGTAGGAAGAACGGGTTTGAGGGTGGGATGGAAATCAGGAATTCAGTTTTGAACACATTAAGTTTAAGATGTTTTTTGGACATCCAAGTGAAGATGTTAAGTAGGAACTGGACATAAGTAGAGTTGAACAGGAAGGTCAGGGCTAGAGAAATAAATCTGGTAATTGGTAGCATATAGACAGTATTTAAAGCCACGAAGCTAAAGAAGATCCCTCCAGGGAGTGAATATAGAGTAAAACAGAGGTCCTAGGACTGAGCCTTGTGGAACCCAACATTTTAGAAATTGGAGAGACAGTGAAGAGCCAGCATCTTCCTGCCAGGAGTGACATCCCGGAAGTTAAAGTGAGAAAGTGTTTCAAGAAGTTCAGCTGTTTTAAAAGCTGCTAGGAGGTCTAATGAGATAAAGAATACTAATCATTGGATTTACAGCACACAGGTCATTGGCAAGCCCTGGTAAAAGCTGTTTTGGTACAGTGGGGATGAAAGAACAATAAGTTTAAGAAAGAACGGGAGGAAATGAATTGGAAACAGCAAATGTAAACAACTTTTCAGAGGAACACTGTTGCACAAAAAAGCAGAGAAACAAACAGGTGGGTAACTAGAGGGAAACACAAATCAGTTCATTGCTGCAGCTGTTTTAAAATGGGAGAAAAAACAGCAGTTTTTAATGCCAGTGATAATACACCAATGTGAAACTGAGTAACGGGTGATGCAGGAGAGGATATAACTGTTGAAGTCGTGTCCTTGACTAGGCCAAAGGGGATAAGATACAGTGTACAACAAAGCCAAATGGCCCTAAAAAGACTAACATCATTGGGTTATTCATTCGTTTGTTCAACAGGTATTTACTGAGCAAGTAGTATGTGCAAGACACTATTCTAGACACTGTACTGAGAATAGATATATCTGTTCTAGATATATAGGTAAACAAAATAGATGGTTTCCGAGGAAACATATGTAAAGCATTTAGAATAATGCCTGGCACATAGTAGCCACATAACAAATGCTGGCTAAATATAGACCTGAACTGTGCTCATCCAAATCTTTAACAAAAATGTGAATCAAGACAGTATCTTAAAACCCGCCAGTAGAGCACTATCGCAGGCGTTTCAATGACTTGTTTTTGAGCTATAAAATGCTTTTGATAATATGAGAAAGTATCTTTAGAACTGTACTTGAAAAGTGCAGATAGGTGGCTGGCTGGCCAGTTAGCTCAGTTGGTTAGAGTGCAGTCTTGTAACATCAAGGTCAAGGGTTCAGTTCCCCCTATGGGTCAGCCACCAAAAAATAAGTAAATAAAGCACAGGAGGGAGAAAATTAGAAAAAGAAAAAAAAAATGCAGATAACAAAAATTAAACACAGAAAGTCAAGTTTACTTGCCCAGAGTTACTAAATTAATTCAGTGAAAAGCCAACAGTCTAAACTAAAATCCAGTTCTCCTACTTCCTAGTCTGATTTCCACCACACTTTCTTTAATATCTCTCTTTCAGTACAATTGTGGTTACTAGAGGCTGGGAAGGGGCAGAGGGAGAGGTGGGTTCATAGACACAAAATTACAGCTAAATAGAAAAAATAAATTCTAGTGTACAGTAGTCCTAGGCATCTATAATTAATAATTATTTATTGTAATTCTCAGAAGAGAAGAGAGGTGCTGAAATGTTCTCATCACAAAGAAATGATAAAGTTTTACGATGATGAATATGCTAATTACTCTGACTTGATCATTACAATTGTGTACATGTATAGGAATTTAACTCTGTATCCCATAAATATGTACAATCAATACATGTGATACAATTGTGTACATGTATAGGAATTTATCTCTGTATCCCATAAATATGTACAATCAATACATGTCAATTAAGAAATTAAAAAATTCCTTTTTAAAATCATCTCTATTTCTCTCTCCTTCGACCGAAAGGCTGAAAATATGAAGACTACAATTTCTGTCCTCCCTCTACTTCTGCCTGGCCCTCACCCGCCACTACCTCCAATTTATCATAGGATGTACTTGATTCCTTATCATTATACTTTAATGCAACAAAAACTATATGTGTTAAAAGATGTTTTGGGGGAGACACAATATTTCAGTTACTAAAATTCCAGGTTATTTCCTATACAAAAAAGAAAAATCTATAATTAAACACAGTCCTACGCATCACATATAAAATATCTTAATCTTCCACCTGGAATCCAACTTTTATAACAAAAACTTGGCAACCTGAATTATCACCACACTGATACTGACAGTGAGGAAGGTTTACTATAATTGACCTTACAGATGTTTAAAATAAGAGTATTTCAAAAACTAATGAATCAGAACAAAGGATTTTTTTTTGTTTTCTACAAAACCTTAAGGAAATATATCTATTTTTAAACTCCCATTACCAGTCTTTTCCATATCTTACTTTTAATGTATAAGCCACACTGATAACAATCTGAAAATGCCAATTAAAAGAAATACTGAAATACAAATTCGCTTTCCCTTTTCTATTTTGCATATTTAATAATAATTTAACAGGGCTTAGTACTCAGTTTTAATGGGTAAGCATTCTACTTCAACCCATGAATAAAGTTGCAGCTTAATATTTCAGTCAAGATATCTGGCAAATCCAATCCTTTTATCTTAAAAATGCCTTTTAGATTTCAAGCCTCACATGAAGTTTCTGATATAAATTACCTTTAAAGTTTTTTTTCTTAATCCTGAAATGCCCTTCAACTTCTAGCTAAAATCTTACACTCTATTTGATAATTACTGTTCTACCCTTATTTTCTTAACCTAGCCACTCATCCCAATAATGTTGCACATCTATCCTAGCATATCTGTAACTCCCCAGCAGTCTCACCTTCTTGAATCACTAACATCAGCACATCTCTGACCTCAAAGTAGAACAGCAGTTAAGATGTGAAAATAAACATTCCATTTGAAAATTAATCTTCTATTTTCACCCACTAGTAAATGCGGCCAAAATATTAGTGACTGTTCTAAAAGTCTGGACTTTAACTCAGTTTTACTTGCTGTAGTACCAATGTCATTTCAGCATTAGTAGCACAAACCAAGTTCTACATGCTCCAACTTTTCAAGTCTGAATCTGCTTCTTTGAGGAAGCTGCCAGGGCAGTCTCAACGAATACCACACACCACATACCGACTGCTTTTCTCAAATCCATCAGTGTTGTTCCAGTTTTCTCCATCCTATTTATGTGCATATGTGTTTTCCTTATTAGATAATTAGCAACTTGAAGGCATGGACCTGTTTCACAGACTGCAAATTCCAGGGACCGAGGCACTACCTGGCGCCTACAAGAATAGCACAAATGAAAGGTCTGATATACACTGTTTCATTTAGTCCTTTCAGCAGCCCCATGAAGTAGTTACTATTAATCACCCCCATTTTACAGATGATCCAAATGAGGCTCAGAAAGGTTGAGTCGCTTGCTCACGTCACATATAGGTAGTAAAGGGGAACAATCCAGGATTCCAAGCCTGATTTGTCTGGATGCGAACACTCTGAACCACTACCCACGCGGCCTTCTCACTACACTCTCGTGATCACCATATGCTTCCCTTTCGCGTGTGGACACAGGAGGCTCTTACAAGGTCGCAGAATCGGGAAAGCCACCAGCCAAGCGCAGAGGCCTCTAATGAGGTTGGAGACGCCTGACCCACCAGCTGTGGTTAGATGAAACGCGCCGAATGAACGCGAGAGAGATGTGGGGCGAGGAGAATGGGCTCGTTGTGACCCAGGCAGGACCTCGCCTCCCGGCCACTCCCGAGCCCGAGCCGAACACCGAGTCCGGCGGGAAGCCGAGCCAGCCCGCCCGGGGACTCCGGGGCGGCCCCCGGGGAGATCCGACGCGCGGCCTTCGCCGCTCCTAGCCCCGCGAGACGGACGCGCCGCCGGGCGCCGGGCTGGAGGAGCGCGCGGAGGCTCAGGCGAAGACGGACGCACCTCGGACGGGATGGGGCAAGGGCGGTTCGTCTTCAACCGCGGCGGCGGCGGGAGCTCTCCGGTGGCTCAGCAGCCGAGTGAGGCGCGGGGACTTGCGCGGGGGGTTTCCCCCAGCAACGAGGAAGGAAGAAGCCAAGAGGCGGCTGCCACCCGGACCACGTTGGGTGTAACACCGATCGTCGCCCCGCCCCTTCCCGTGGCCGCCTTGAGCTACTTCCGGTGGCGGCACCCCTACTCGTTCCCGGCTGGAGCGGCCTGAGGCCGGTTCCTAACCTCTCACCTCCCGGCCCGCGGGCGAGGGCTTCTTTCTGTCTCCAGTAACGGAGCAGTGCCCGGGACGCCCGGCTCGGTCAGTGTAGGGCAGGGCCGCCTCCGCGGTGGGAAAATGTGCTGCGAGAAGTGGAGCCGCGTGGCCGAACTGATTCTCTTCATTGAAGACCGGGAGGAGAAGATCCTCTGCCTCTGCTCCAGGGCGTTTGTGGAGTAAGTAGAAACGGGTTTCCCTTCAGTTCTAGCGCGGTGATCGCCCAGAAATGTAGGCGTTGCAAGCGTGGTTGCGACTGATCACTGACACCAGCAGGAGTCTCTGACCTTTGGGCAAGGTGATTAAGAAAAACAAAAACCCTCAGACATTACGGAGTGGTCGCCCACTGCCATTAAGTGAAGGACTAAATCTACTTTGTAGGCTGTTATGAAAAAAATGTGGTAGCTGATATATGTCATTTGGTGTGTGTAAATTGAGGGGTCGCTTAAAAATTGGGGGAAGGTAAAAAACGTAAAATGGAATCTCTAGTAGATGTGACATCGTAAGGTGAAGGTTTAGAGTTGAGTAATTTTGTTAACATCTTCTTTAAAACCTTAAAATCTATTCAAGCTCAAACGCACATAATTAGAACTTCTAACTATTTGAGACAAAATGCTTAACTGCATTTACATTAGTTTGAAGGTGTCTTTATTTGGTGGAAATTCGGGTACAAATTGCTCTCCATGGAAGGTAGCTAGTGTGTACGAAAAAAACTGACTAGAGAATTGGATTCTAGGTATTGTTTTCTTTATATTAAATGTGTTAGTTAAGCCACTTAAATCTTTTTCTTTTTTTTTTTTCTTTTTAATCTCTAGAAGAGGTACATTTACCCTAATCTTACATGCTTATTGTTAGATTCTAATCTTTGTGAAAGTGAATTTTATGTGACAGACTTTTAACGTAGTGTAGTAGAATTTAAGCTTGAGGAAATTTTTTTTCTTCATGTGTTTTTATGGTGCAATCTGAAAATTAACCCCAAAAGAAATTAAACACCATGTTAAATTTAATGTAAAAAGTATTGTTGCTTTTGTAGTCTGGCACACATGTAACCATGCATTCATTCAGTGAATACTTTTTGTGCTTCTGTGTATCTAGTATGCTGGTAGGCACTGGGGTACAAGACAGAGCCTGTCTCTACATGCGTTGAGTTTACTTTCTAGCAAAGGCGAGGAATATTAAATTTAGACAGCTGGTTACACAATTACTTGGTTTATTATAGTTGTAAGTGCTATGAGAGAAGTACAGAATGCTGTGATAATAAATAATCTAACCTTTCTCCAGAGGTTTCTTTGAGGAAGTAGCATTTAGAAAGAGGTCTAAAGGAAATAAACGGATAAGTTTCAGTGGGAGGGAGTATTCCTCAGCAGACAACTCTGTGCAAAGGCCTTTAGCGAGCAAAAGAAAGGTTATGAAACCGAAGAAATGACTGAGAAAGAAAGATAGGAGATAGGGTCAGTGAGATAGGCAGAGCCAAAACATGCAGGACTTTGTGGAAGGATTACTTCTAGGAAAACCTTAAGCTGGGGAATGACATTATCAGGTTTGCATTTTTAAAAGATTACTCTGGCAGTGATTTGGAGAAGAACCACCACTTATGACCATTGTCCAGGCAAGAGATTATGGTGGGTAGATGGCAGTAGAAATGGAGAAAGAGGGAAAAAGATAGGAGAGAGATTGTTGGGTTCGGGGATTGGATGTGGGAGAATGAAGGAAAGTTAAGGGATGAGAAGGAGGAGACTAGGTCAAGGTTTCTGGCTTTCACTGAGATATGAATTACTAGAGAATCATGGGTTTTATTTGAGGACAGCAGTTAGGATCAGTCTTGCACATTTTGATTTTGGGGTACTGTATTAGTCTGTTTCTGTTGCTTATGACAGAATACCTGGAGCAGGGTGATTTATAAAAAAACATTTTATTGCTTACATTTTCAGAGGCTGGAAGTCCTAAGTCCAGGGAACTCATCTGGTGAAGGCTGTTTTTGGTGGTGACTTCAGTGACAGCAGGGTATCACTTTGCTAAATGGCAGAGCAGAGAAAGACTAACCTCTCACATGCTCTTCTTTTAACCACACCACCATTTTTAATCCATTCACTACAGCATGGTCCTACAATCTAATCACCTCTTCAAGGCCCCAACTTTCAATTACCATGAGACACCACCATTTTTAATCCATTCACTACAGCATGGTCCTACAATCTAATCACCTCTTCAAGGCCCCAACTTTCAATTACCATGAGAGGATTTCTCACCCTCAGTGGAAATTAAGTTTCTAATATTTGAAATTCAGGGAGACAAAGTCAATCAATCCACAGCAGGTACCTATAAGAGATCAAAGGACAGAAGATATAACTAGTCAGATATATTGGTTTGGAGCTCTGGAGAAGTCTGGGATACTGTTGAAGACTTGAGCCATTCACCTTTACATAGTATATACTTTTAGATAGTCATGTGCTGCATAAGGACATTTCAGTCAATGACGGACCGACCATACAACGGTGATCCCATAAGATTATAATGGCTGTACTGTGTACTATGTAGCCTTGGTGTGTAGTAGGCTATCTCATCTAGGTTTGTGTAACTACACCCTGTGATCGCCCAAAGATGAAATTGCCTAATGACACATTTCTCAGAACGTATCCCTGATGTTAAGCGAGGCATGACTGGAATTGAAGCTATTACAGTAGACCCCCCCCCGCCCCCGCCATCTGTAGTTTCGCTTTCTACGGTTTCAGTTACTCATTGTCAACCACCAGGGTCTGAAAATATTAAATGGAAAATTTCAGAAGTAAACAACTTATAAGCTTTAAATTACATGCTGTTCTGAGTAGCGTGATGAAATATGCACCATCGTGCTTTGTCCCTCACCAGCTGTGAATCATCACTTTGTCCATTGGCTCTACACTGTGTATGCTCCAGCCCCTTAGTCATTTAGTAGCTGTCTCAGTTATCAGATCAACTGTCACAGTATGGTAATGCTTGTGTTCAAGTAACTCTTACTCTACTTAATAATGGCCCCAAGGCACAAAGTAGTGATGGTGGTGATTTGGATATGCCAAAGAGAAGCTGTAAAGTGCTTTCTTGAAGTGAAAAGTGAAAGTTCTTAAGAAAAAAATCGTATGCTGAGGTTGCTAAGGTCTATGGTAAGAACTAACCTTCCATCTGTGAAATTGTGAAGAAGGAAAAAGAAATTCATGCTAGTTTTGCTGTCACACCTCAAACTGCAAAAATTATGTCCACAGCATGTAATAGGTGCTTGGTTAAACTTTATCATAGCTATGTATGTATAGAAAAAAAACATAGTATAGGGTTTGGTACTGTCCTCGGTTTCAGGCATCCACTGGCAGTCTTGGAATGTACCCCACTCAGACAAGGGGGAACTACTGTGATTTGGAGGGCGGGGGGGGGGATCCATCCTTGAGGAATTCCAACATTTTTTAAAGATGAGAAGAGGTAGATTAACTGGGAAACAAGTAGAAGGCAAGAGCAAGTATACTGTCTCCAATTGTTTCAATGAAGGAGTAATCAACATTGGAAAGCTGCGAGAATATCAAGCAAAATGAGGACTAAAAAGTATCTGTTTTAGGGCCAGCCCAGTGGCGCACTGGAGAGTGCGCAGCTTGGGAGTGCGGCGGCGCTCCCCGCGGAGGGTTCGGATCGGGGGGGGGGGGGGGGGGATCCATCCTTGAGGAATTCCAACATTTTTTAAAGATGAGAAGAGGTAGATTAACTGGGAAACAAGTAGAAGGCAAGAGCAAGTATACTGTCTCCAATTGTTTCAATGAAGGAGTAATCAACATTGGAAAGCTGCGAGAATATCAAGCAAAATGAGGACTAAAAAGTATCTGTTTTAGGGCCAGCCCAGTGGCGCACTGGAGAGTGCGCAGCTTGGGAGTGCGGCGGCGCTCCCCGCGGAGGGTTCGGATCCCATGTGGAGACCATTTCCCGCTCACTGGCTGAGCGTGGTGTGGGCACAACACCAAGGGTTGCGATCCCGTTGCCGGTCCCCAGTACGGGCGCGACACTGAGGCTTGTGATCCTGTTACCCGTCAGTAAAAAAGACAAAAAAAAAGGAAGAAAAAAAAAAAAAGTATCCGTTTTAGAATTGGCAAAATCCACTGGATTGATTGATGATTTAAGTGCTGCCACTATTTTTTTTACATTTCATACTGACAGTGACTCTATCCTTGACCAAACTTTATGCAGGCTCCTCTGAGCTCTCTTTTTGATTAGGCCTTATCCTTTGGGCCTTGTCTTCAGCCTGCCTAGTCCAGTTTGAGCAAGAATCTCATTTTAGTGAGAATCCCACCCCCCGCCCCCACCATGGTTATCTGATCACCCTGACCTGCCTTTGATAAGAAATTTAAGTCAGTTTAGCAAGATTCCCCTTAACCTTGTTGTCTCCTTTTATTAATTTTCCATCCGCTGACAGCCCCCCCACCCCCATTCTGCTCATTGGCTATATAGCCCCAGCTGTCTAATGTATCAGGAGTTCAGCCAGATCTCTCTCCCCTATTGCGGTTGTCTGGATGCCTATCACAGTAGTCCTGAATAAAGCCTTCCTTAGTTTTAACAAGTGTCAGAATAATCTTTTCTCTAAAAAAATTTTTTCATTTAAACCTTCCAGCAGCTTCTGAGGTATGTTCTGTTATCCTTTCTTCATTCAAGTAAAAAATTCAGTCTCACTAATGACATAAAGAAAAAAAAATCACACAGCCAGTAAATGGCACCCCTGGAATCCCACCCCACATCTCTGTGATTTCAGAGTCTTTCTGCTATTCCACCAGTTGGTTTAGAACATGATTTCATT